TTTGATAACACAGCCCTCTTATATCAATCACTAGCTTGGAACTTCCTCAGGGAAGCTTTATAGAGGCAGCTGACAAGAAAGCAAACACAGCAATGTTCTTTGGATATATCTCTGAAGCCTGGAGCTGAATACATAGCTGCACAGATTGTGTCAATGGGAGGGTTTCGGCTTCCTTGGCCATGGGATGCCATTCCGCGAAGGAGCTGGGAAGAGAAGGGGTCCACCTGATCAAGAGGACGAAAAGCATCTTTGCACACTAACTGGCCAACCTAGTGAAGAGGACTTTAAGTTCAAAGGGGTAGGTGACACAAGCCCAGAGGTAAGCATTCAAAAGATGACCTCTGAGGGCCAGATGTTGTGGGTAGCACACAGAGGAGCAACAACAGGGAAATCAGTGGGGGGAGTCTGCTCAACATCTTAGCATCTATACACAAATGCAAGGAAGAGTGGGACATAAACATTGTCATAATTTAGCTTATGTACTATCTCATGACAGGAATATTGGGATAGAGGGTACAGCTTGTTCAGGAAGGCAGATGGCGGGGGGCGGGAAGAGGTGTTTCATTGCACATCACGAACATATACACTTGTTCTAAGGTCCAGAAGGAGGTGAGAGGCAGACCAGTTGAAAGTCTGAGCAAAGATAAAAGGATTAAAAAAAATAGGGGTGACCCATGGTAGGAGTCTACTATAGACCATGACATCTGGAAAAGGAGGTGGATTATTATCAGCAGGGCTGAATTGATTGAAAGTCTGAAGGTGGAAGGCCATTAGGATTAAAGTGATCATGAAATGATATTTCATTATTCTAAGGAAAGGAAGGGGTGAGCACAGCAAAATAAGGACAATAGACTTCAGAAAAGAAGGATTAATGGACCTAGAGAGTTTTAGGTAAGGTCCCTTGGGAAGAAAATCTAAGGGATAAAGGAGTATAGGAGAGCTGGGAGTTTCTTAAGCAGACAATATTAAAGGCATAACTTCAAACTATCCCACAGCAAAGGAAAGATAGGAAGAATAGTAAGAGACCAATATGGCTCCATCAGAAGCTCTTTAATGACCTGAATATCAAGAAGGAATCTTACAAAACTGGAAACATGGATGAATTGCTAAGGATGAATACAAAAGAATAGCACAAGCATGTAGGGGCAAAATGAAAGGCTAAGCCACAAAATGAATTAACATTAGCAAGAGACATGGAAGATAATTTAAAGACTAACAGATTTATTTGAGCATAAGCTTTCATGGGTAAAAACCCCCATGCATGGAGGGAAAATTACAGATAATAAATATACTTGCACATGAAGAGAAGGGAGTTACCTTACAAGTGGAGAACCAGTGCTGACAAGGCCAATTCAGTCAGGGTGGATGTGGTCCACTTCCAATAATTGATCAGGAGGTGTCAATACCAAGAGAGAGAAAATTGCTTTTGTAGTGAGCCAGCCACTCCCAGTCCCTATTCAAGCCCAAATTAATGGTGTTAAGTTTGCAAATGAATTGTAGCTCTGCAGTTTCTCTTTGAAGTCTGTTTTTCAAGTTTTTTTGTTGATGTATGGCTACTTTTAAATCTGTTATTGAATGTCCAGGGAGACTGAAGTGTTCTCCTACTGGCTTTTGTATGTTACCATCCCTGATGTCTGATTTGTGTCCGTTTATTCTTTTACAAAGAGACTGTCCGGTTTGGCCAATGTACATGGCAGAGGGGCATTGCTGGCACATGATGACATATATCACATTGGTAGATGTGCAGGTGAATGAGCCCCTGATGGTGTGGCTGATGTGGTTGGGTCCTCTGACGGTATCACTAGAGTGGATATGGGGACAGAGTAGGCAACAGGGTTTGTTACAGGGATTGGTTCCTGGGTTAGTATTTTCTGTGGTGTGTAGTCCTGGTATTTGCTTCATGTTGGGGGGATGTCTATAAGCAAGGACTGGCCTGCCTCCCAAGAGCTGTGAGAGCAAGGGATTGTTTTTCAGGATAGGTTGTAGATCGTTGATAATGTGCTGGAGAGATTTTAGCTGGGGCTGTATGTGATGGCCAGTGGTGTTCTGTTATTGTTCTTGTTGGGCCTGTCCTAAAGTAGGTGACTTCTGGGTACCCGTCTCGCTCTGTCAATCTGTTTCCTCACTTCCCCAGGTGGGTATTGTAGTTTTAAGAATGCTTGATAAAGATCTTGTAGGTGTTTGTCTCTGTCTGAGGGATTGGAGCAAATGTGGATGTATCTTAGGGCTTGGCTGTAGACAATGGATTGTGTGATGTGTCTTGGATGGAAGCTGGAGGCATGTAGGCAAGTATAGCGGTCAGTAGGTTTCCGTTATAGGGTGGTGTTTATGTGACCATCACTTATTTGCACTGTAGTGTCCAGGAAGTGGATCTCTTGCGTGGACTGGTCCAGGCTGAAATTGTTGGTGGAGTGGAAATTGTTGAAATCCAGGTGGAATTCATCCAGGGCCTCCTTCCCGTGGGTCCATAAGATGAAGATGTCATCAATGTAGTGCAAGTAGAGGAGGGGCGCTAGGGGACGAGAGCTGAGGAAGTCAGGAAGTTCTAAGTCAGCCATAAAAATGTTGGCATACTGTGGGGCCAATGCAGGTACCCACAACAGTGCCACTGACTTGAAGGTATAAGTTGTCCCCAAATTTGAAGTGGTTGTGGGTGAGGACAAAGTCACAAAGCTCAGCCACCAGGTGTGCCATGGCCACGTCAGGGATACTGTTCTTGACAGCTTGTAGTCCACCCTCCTGTGGAATATTGGTGTAAAGAGCTTCGACATCCATGGTGGCCAGGATGGCGTTTTCAGGAAGATCACCAATGCATTGTAGTTTCCTCAGGAAGTCGGTGGTGTCTCAAAGATAGCTGGGAGTGCTGGTAGTGTCGGGTCTGAGGAGAGAGTCCAAATAGCCAGATAATCCTGCTGTAAGAGTGCCAATGCCTGAGATGATGGGGG